TCTGATATATAAGGTGTCCATATAAACATATATAGTTAAATACATTGTTGCTATTATTTGAACAATTTTTATATCAGTTAAGGATAAGAAAAAAGTTTTTATTTTACTATCATATTCCCTTATCAGCAGTCTGCCTTTATGTAGATTCAGGTTTCTGACCTATATCATTTTCCTTTTCTATATAGGATTTTTAAAAAATATTTCTTGAAAACAAGTCTGCTGGCAATAAATTCCCTTAATTTTTGTTTGTTTCATAAATTCTTTACTTCTTTCTTTTTGAAGGATAATTTTGCAAGATATAGAATCCTTGGTTGGAAGGGTGTTTTTTCTCTCAATGCTTTAAATATTTTGCTTTAATCTTTTCTTGTGTGCATGATTTATGAAGAGAAATCTTATGTAATTCTTATTATTGTTCTTCTATAGTTAAAAGTCTTTCCCCCCTGGCTTCTTTTAGGACTTTTTCTTTATATTTGATTTTCTGTAGTTTGAAAATGATGTTCCAAGGTGTAGTGGGTTTTATTTGTTTGTTTTTTTAATTCTGTGTGGAATTCTGTGAGCTGTTTGGATCTGTGATTTGGTGTCTGACATTAATTTGGGGAAATTGTCAGTTATTATTGTTCAAATATATCTTCTGCTCCTTTCTCTTTTTCTTCTCTTTTTGTTATTCCCATCGTGTGTATGTTACAACTTTTGTGGTTGTACCGTAGTCCTTGAATATATTCTTCTGTTTTAGCCTTTTTTTTCTTTTCAGATTTTAAAGTTTTGTTGATATATCCTCAAGTGCAGAGATTCTTTCCTCAGTCACTTCTCAACTACCAGTGAGCCATTAAAGGTACTCTTCATTTCTGTTACGGTGTTTTTTCATCTCTAGCATTTATTTTTGGTGCTTTCTGAGGATTTCTATCTTTCTGATTACATTGGTCATCTATTCTTACATAGTGTCTAGTTTATCCATTAGAGCACTTAGTATAATAATAAATATTATTCTAACATTCCTGCCATGTCTGTTTCTGATACTTGCTCTGTCTTTTCAAATTGTGTTTTTGCCTTTGGTATTTTTTCTCAATAGCTGGACATGATGTAGCAGGTGAAAGGAACTGCTATAAATATGCCTTCAGTAATGTAGTGGTCAGCTGTGAGGAGAAAAGTGTTCTTTAGTCATATGGTTAACTTTCAGTGTTTTACTTGGCCTGTGCCTCTGGACTATGCACATCACAAATCTTTCTCAGTTTTTCTTTTTCTTCCTCCTTAGGTGGGGCAGAATGGCCCAAGTGGGCTGGAGTTGGGTATTTCTCTTCCCCAGGTCAGTTAGGCTTTGATAATACCCCAGTAAGTTAGTCTGTTTGCTACTCAGACCTGTCTTTAAGTTGATATTTTTCTTATGCTTGATCTAGTCTGCTGTTGAAACTTTCTAGTGAATTTTCCTATCTCTTTTTTAAATTATTAATTTGTTTGTCACTCATTATCAGGGAAATACAAATCAAAACCACACTGAGATGCCACCTCACACTGGGAAGAGTGGCTAAAATGAACAACTCAGGAAACAACAGATGCTGGTGAGGATGTGGAGAAACTGGAACCCTCTTGCACTGTTGGTGGGAATGTAAACTGGTGAAGCTGCACTGGAAAACAGTGAGGAGGTTCCTCAAAAAATTAAAAATATAACTGCCCTATGATCCAGGAATAGCACTACTAGGCATTTATGCAAGGGATACAGGAGTGTTGATTCGTAGAGGCACGTGTACCCTAATGTTTATAGCAGCACTTTCAACAATAGCCAAATTATGGAAAGAGCCTAAATGTCCATCAACTGATGAATAGATAAAGAAGATGTGGTTCATATATACAATGGAATACTACTTGGCAATGAGAAAGAATGAAATCCTGCCATTTGCAGCAATGTGGATGGAGTTGAAAGGTATTATGCTGAGTGAAATAAGTCAGTCAGAGAAGGACAGATATCATGTTTTACCTCATAATGTGGATCTTGAGAAACTTAACAGAGGACCATGGGGGAAGAGAAGGGGAAAAACAGTTACAAACCATAGAGACTCTTAAACACTGAGAACACACTGAGGGTTAATTGGGGGGTGGGGGAGAGGGGAAACTGGGTGATGGGCATTGAGGAGGGCACTTGTTGGGATGAGCACTGGGTGCTGTATGTAAGTGATGAACCATGGGAGTCTACCCCAAAAAGCCAAGAGCATACTTTACACACTGTATGTTAGCCAATTTGACAATAAATTATATTAAAAACAAAAAGAAAAAAAATTCTTACTTTGTTCATGCATTGTTCTCTTGACCTCAGTGTGTATCTGTATGAGGGTTATTTTTTTATTGAGGTATAATTGGCATTAACATTATATCAGGTTCAGATGTTCAACATGATTCAGTATTTGTATATGTTGTCAAATCATTACCACAGTTATTCTAGTTAACATCCATCACCATACAGTTACTGGATTTTAAGATCTATTCTCTTAGCAACTTTCAAATAGACAATATAGTATAATATAGAATAATTAACTTAAAATAATTACTTATTATTTTGTAGCTGGAAGTTTGTGTCTGAGAGTTCATTTTAACTTCTCTCTAATGTTAATCATTTACATTCATTTCAATAGGGTCAATTTCTGGAGATTTATCTTGTTCCTTGTTTGAAACATTTTTTTCCTGATTCTTCATTTTACTTGACTCACTGTTTGGGTTGTTGGCTCATAGTCAAAGCAGTCACCTCTCCCAGTCTTCACCAACTGGCCTTATGCAGATGTGGACTCCCCAAATCAGCCTTGCCATTGATTTTGGGGGCCTCTACTAACTTTTTATTTCTTCAGGTAGAAGCAGGCACCTGTTTTTGTCCTGCTGTCTCTGTGCTGGTTAGGAAGGAGGATCAAAGGTATCTACCATTCCAAGCTGCTATCTCTGGTCTCTAGATTGTAGAGGCAACTAGATTGTACCAGTTCTATCAGTGCTCCAGGATTGGTGAGACAGATGCTAATTCTATGAGCAGTTTTGGTGGAGTGGGGCACTGCATGCATGAATAAACTTTTTCCTTCTCTAGTGAAAGGCAGAAAGCTAGAATTTTCATTAACTTACTCTGTGCTGATCAATTACTCTGTGTTGCAGATCAATTATGTGTAACTAGTCCAAGTCACCACCCTTATTTTTGCCTGGGTTGCTAGCTGTGCTGAACTCATCAGGGCTCCAAGACTGGTGACACAGTTCTTTTGGTAGCCCCTTCAGAAAAATTGGGGCACCTGATATGTGAAAAATCCCTTTCCTTCCCTGGTCAAGCTGGGAAACAAAGGGTCTCTTTGTGATCATATGGCAGTGCCCTGGACAGTGTCCCTGATGTAAGGTATACCAAATCTCCATATTGGCTTTAATGAGTCTGATTTTGCATTCTCCTGGAGTGGTGCAGAAGCCTTTCAATTAGTTTTTGATTAATCATAAAGAGAATTTGCCCATGTATTACTGCTAAATTGGTGTATTTGTTCTATGGTAGGGGGTCCAGGGCTTCCTACTCTATCTTCCTGACCAGAATTTCAGCCTTTATTTCTCTGAGTACTTTTCAACTCCACGTTCTTTCTGTTTTCTTTCTTGGATTCTGATATATATTTTAGATCTGCTATTGTTCCACAGCTTATTTGAGGCTCTAGGATTTTCTTAGCTCATTTTTCTGTTTCATATATTGGATAAATTCCACTGATCTGTCCTCAAGTTCAGAGATTCTAACTCTTGTCATCTCCACTTTACTTTTGAGCCTATCGTAATAATTTATTTGCTTTCTTTGTGGCTTTTATTTCTATTCTGTAATTTCTTTCAAGATAATTTGTAATTGTTCACTGAAACAGTTCTCCATGGCTGGTTTAAAATCTTATCTGCTAGTTCCAACATGTGTCTCATATCAATATTGGCATCGGTTGGTTGTTTTCTCTCTCTTTTTTTTCTTCAGTTCTTGATATAGTGGGTGATTTTTGCTTGTGTCCTTGGTATTTAAGTCTTCTGTTTTTGAAGGCAGTCACCCAGTTTAAGTTTAGATTTAGAGTGTGTTGTTTGAATGATAATTTAGCTTTCTTGTAGGTTTTAAAGTTATTCTGTTGTGCTTTGTTCTTCTAGCTCTACTGGACCTCTGCTATTGCAGCCTGTGGTGGTAAGAGGTATTACCTGTGCCACTGCCTCTCAGTGAGGAAAGTTCCTATCTGGAACAAATGGAAATAATATGTATGGCAGCTAATAATGTATAATAACAACATATAAACAAATTCATAGGAAAGAATGTGAATCATAATAGCATAGCATTAGCAAAGGAACATAACTGACTGTACAATCACTAGAATTTTAAGTGGAGAGATGGGAATATTCACTGAAAGAGAGTATTAGGGGAGAACCTGGGAAGACTAATGCTGTGAAAGTCCATGGAGAGGAGAGCTTGGAATAAGATGATAAACATGGTGAGATATTACAGAGAAATTTAAAAAAAAAGAAATATCATTTAAGATACTTTTGGGTAACTTAAAAAATAAGTGAAATGTTCAGATTTGAAGTCAAATTACTACTGTGAGATACATAAAGTTAGTAGTTATAAACTATACATACATTCAAGAAATGTGGCTTAGAAAGAAAAGATGCAGTAAAGGAAGTTGAAAAAAATTTAGAATTATAGCAAGGATTATCTAGGGAAGGATAAGAGTCATGATTATTCTTAATCAAAAAGTGTTAAGAGGAAGAGATTGCAAGTAATGCAATATCTGGTGGATAATATGGTAATGGATACATCTGAATGTTTGATGATGTTTAGGAAGTAAGGATAAACCAAAAACTTTATTTACAAATCATTCATGCACTTGTTGTGATGAGCGCTGGATGTTGTATAGAAGTATTGACACTGTGTTGTGCACCTGAATCTAATATTATACTGTGTGTTAACCAACTGAATTTAAATAAAAACTTAACAAGCCCAATTATTCATGAATGTATCTTCATACACTCCTCTTTAGGGCCATTGCCTTTATCAAGGATATGCTGCAGAGGTTCCAAAATCAGTTGTGACACTTAGCACTTGTTCTGGACTCAGGTAATGGCATTTTCTAGAGATGAACATGATTGAAAATCTTGTGTGGTCTTTAAAAAAATTTTTTTTAAGTTTATTTATTTTTGAGAGACAGAGACAAAGATAGAGACAGAGTGTGAATGGGGGAGGGGCAGACAGAGAGAGAGATATAGAATCTGAAGCAGTCCAGGCTCAGAGCTGTCAGCACAGAGCCTGAAGTGGGGCTTGAACCCATGAACTGCAAGATCATGACTTCAGCTGAAGTTGGACAGTTAACTGAGCCACCCAGCCGTCCCCAAAATCTTGTGTGATCTTTTAATTTTCAGAAACATCTTGAAGGATAGAATGAAGACAAAGAAAATAGAGATTTTGATTGTGTTTCTTCCCATATACTTTCTTTTCCTCCTTCTCTTTTTTAATCACTGTCCCAGGCATGCAGTCATAATACTTATGCAGAAATAGCTTCCACTAACTAGTTTGAAGAATATTCAAATTTCTTAGTCACACTAGAACCACAATGACTCCAAATGGCATAATAGAGAGAAGCTATAAAATTGTGTTTGAAAGTTTATCAAAGTACAAAGAGATGATTCTTAGATATTAGACCACAAGCACCACTGTTAAATTTCTATAAAATTTTTTATTTAATGGTGATTTACATTTCTCAGTGGGTACTCTATATTAATTATCTTTTTATTTCTTTTTTATGTGTTTAAATATTTAGGGGATTATTGCAGTTGGAGAACGTCAGTTATGGCATTGAACCATTGGAATCTGCAGCTGCATATGAGCATATGCTTTATCAAATAAAGAATAATAAAACTGAGTTTTTGCCCTTACAAGAAAATTATCCCACGACCCAAGTGGTAGATCAGTCCTACCGGATACTTGTGAAATCAGAAGTAAGTAACCACTTAAATGTGATCTTCACTTGTGTTATCTTTGATAAATTTATTCACATTGGAATGTGTTACATTTGGAAAACAGATTTAAACTGATATTGATTATATTAAAATTTTCAATTGTAAGATATTTATTTTAAATATATTTTGGGGGTGCCTGGGTAGCTCAGTTGGTTGGGTGTCAGACTTCTGCTCAGGTCATGAGCTCACCATCCATAAGTTTGAGCCCCGCATCAGGCTCTATGCTGCCAGCTCAGAGCCTGGAGCCTGCTTCAGATTGTGTCTCCCCCTCTCTCTGCCCCTCCCCTGCTCACTCTCTGTCTCTCAAAAAAAAAAAAAAAGAATAAACGTAAAAAAAATTTTTAAATATATTTTTATATTTAGACATGATATATAGAAAATGTAATAGATATAAACACACATAATTAAACAATAAAAATTCTCACATTTTCCTAATTGCAAGTATATTGATGCATATATACATATTTGCATTGTTATTGAATTAACATTCTACTAATATAATGTTACACAAATTTGCTGATTATTTCTTTCTCAGAATTTTCCTTGCCAATACATTTTTTCTTTGTAGCAAAGTATTATTTTGATAGAAAATTTAAAAGTGGAAAAGGGGCAAGAAATTGTCCTAAATCTCATTGTCTATAGAGAGATAGTGCTTTTGGAGTATTGGAGTATTTGTTCCAATTCTTTTAATATATCTAATTATAAAGGTAGATCTATAAGTATATGGATTTTTTAAAAATTTATTTAAATTCAAGTTAATTAACATATAGTGTAGTATTGGTTTCAGGGGTAGAAGCCAGTGGTTCATCACTTATATATAACACCCAGTGTTCATCCCAACAAGTGCCCTCCTTAATGTCCATCACCCATTTAGCCCCTCCCCCTACCCAACACCCCGCCAGCAACCCTCAGTTTGTTTTCTGTTTTTAAGAGTTTCTTATGGTTTGCCTCCCTCTCTGTTTTTATCTTATTTTTCATTTCCTTCCCCTATGTTCATCTGTTGTGTTTCTTAAATTCCACATGAGTGAAATCATATGATATTTGTCTTTCTCTGACTGACATATTTTGCTTAGCATGGTACACTCACTCTAGTTCCATCCACGTTGTTGCAAATGGCAAGATTTCCTTCTTTTTGATCACTCACTAGTATTCGATTGTATATATACACCACAACTTTATCCATTCATCAGTTGAAGGGCGTTTGAACTTTTTCCATTAGTTGGCTATTGTTGATAGCACTGCTATAAACGTTGGGGTGCATGTGCCTCTTAAAGGTAACATAATTTAATGATAAGTAAAAGTATGCATTATCCTTTTAATAGCAAACAGGATATTTTTTTTTAAATTTTTTTTTTTAACGTTTATTTATTTTTGGGACAGAGAGAGACAGAGCATGAACGGGGGAGGGGCAGAGAGAGAGACACAGAATCGGAAACAGGCTCCAGGCTCTGAGCCATCAGCCCAGAGTCCGACGCGGGGCTCGAACTCATGGACCGCGAAATCGTGACCTGGCTGAAGTCGGACGCTTAACTGACTGCGCCACCCAGGCGCCCCAACAAACAGGATATTTTAAAATGCGTATTATCTTTTAATAGGAAAAAGGAAATTTCAAAGTGGAGTAAATTTCCTTTTTGTTGTTAAAAGGATAATGCAAATTTTTACTTATCGGTAAATTATATTACACTTGTTATTACTTTAAATTAAATATATTGGTTAACATCTATTAAAATATTAAATAGACACATATGTAAGGAAAATAAGAATGAATCATATGCCATTTTCTAGAGGTAAATGAAATTGTGGAATCCACTGCAATCATTTTGATGTGTACCCTTTTGTACTTAAATATGTTACAAAATTATGTCATATTTTGTGTTTTTATTTTTTTTAATGTTTATTTATTTATTTTGAGAGAGAGTGCTCATGCACAAGCAGGGGGGAAGGGCAAAGATAGAGGAAAGAGAGAATCCTAAGCAGGCTTCGCATTGTCAGCACAACCCCAATGCAGGGCTCAATCTAAGGAACTGTAAGATCATGACCTGAGCTAAAATCAAGAGTTGGATGTTTAACCGACTGAGCCATCCAGTCACCTGGCTTTGTGATATCTATCTATCTATCTATCTATCTATCTTATCTATACATACATGTGTGTGTATATATATATATATATATATATATATATGTCCATATGTATGGATATATATGAATCCCTGTCTATATATTGTCATCATGATTGGATATCACATTAAAGAGAAGCAGGGACGCCAGGGTGGCTCAGTTGGTTGAGCGTCTGACTTCGGCTCAGGTCATGATCTCAGTTTGTGGGTTCGAGCCCCACATCAGGCTCTGTGCCGACTGCTTGCTCAGAGCCTGGAGCCTGTTTCAGATTCTGTGTCTCCTTCTCTCTCTGCCTCTCCCCCGCTCATGCTTTGTCTCACTCTGTTTCTCAAAAATAAATGTAAAGAGAAGCAAAACAAAATAGTAATGAGTGGTACTTAAACTGAATTTATGATGAACTCCATCTCATTGTTGCTTTAATTTGCATGTATTTATTTTGTCAAAGATATTGGTGCATATACAGCTCATAAAATTATAAAATATAATCATATATAGGGATGACCCCCAACTTTATGCCAGCTCTGGAAACCATCTGCATGTTTTAATACAACACTGAATACAATTGAAGACAATTTTTGCCACTGAAATAGAGTACTATCACATAAGTAAATTGAAAAACTTTAAAGGATTCCATGAATACTCTTCTGTGGCAGAGGAAGACCCTAAGAGATGGACATAAGTTTGGAAAAAGACCCACTCCAGTGAATCAGCAATAAGACAGAGATTAGATAAGATAGAGATAATATACCTTCCATTGCCTTGATTTGAATTACAAGTCTGTCCATTTTAGCCACAAAAACTTTGGCGAGTAACATAATCTATGTTTAAATTCCTTATCTGTAAAAAACTGATAATAAAAATAATATCTAACTCATACAATTATTTCAAAGATTAAGTACATTTATAGATAGAAATTCCTTAGCATAGTATGTAGACAAGTAAAATCCCAGTAAAAATCACTACTACTATTATTTGATCACCATATTTTCTAATGTTGTGGGGAAAGGTAATTGGAAGTAATTATGGAAAGTTTGGGTACAAACAAAATGTAATAATGAAGTAAAATAGAGATAAACATTTCAGAACCTAAGAAGAAACCAGGGATGTCATTTCAGGACTGGAGATCAATATTTGTATGTATTTGGGAATTTTATATCTTTTATGAAGTAACTTGACAATTGCTTTTCATCCTGAATTTGATACACTTAAATCTATAGGTTTAGTAAACATGTTTTCACATGACTAATGCTTTTATGAGCACAAAAAAAGAAAGTGAATATCTTCAGTCAAAGCAACAGAAAAAAATAACATAAAAGTTTCTATTTTAAGTATATTTTAACATTCATGAAAGTAAACACAGATACACTTATAAACAAGGTAAATACCTTCATTATAATCCAGAGTTGAAAAGTAGAAGAGAAACCAAACAATATACTATAAAGGTTTTATCTATTAAAAGAATATTAAACACATGTCTTTACCCCCCTGCCCCTTTTTAAAAACCCACTGAAATGAAAAGGAAGTTTTAAACCAGCATAAACATACAAACACAAGAAAACAGGAGAGGAGTAATAACAATGGACGTTGGAGATAGCTGATTTAGTGCCCCAAATTTGAATTCTAAACTGGGTAATTGGGATAGGCTATTGGAAACTTGACATGTACTGCAGTACTATTCAAATGTTTTTGGAATTGCCTGACCAGTTGCCGTAGGAAGTGATTTTAAAGGTGGGCCCAAGAAGATAATTCGTTGAAAATAAGTTGTATAAGTATTTAGCAACCTTGGCTTCCTGTACTAATCAACTGGAGACTGACATACTTGAAAGCTGTTTTCTTTGGGGAGTCTCTGAAATGGGGACACCACACACAGATGTTCTATTGTATTTCCAGGTGGAAGAGGAATATCATACTGAAACTGGTGTGTTTAAATTAAACTTGGCACATTGGATATTGGGAACCAGGCTTACACATTCTAAGAATTGTATTGGAAGACCCCTCTTCAGGAAGGAATTAAACTAGCCAAAAGAATCAAAACTAATCATATCGACAGGGTTTTCCCTGCCAACAACCCAGACACATTGCTTTCTCTGAAAAAAATAGCCTGTAAATTCCATTTATGGTCATAGGGATGTGGGAATAAACTTAAATACTCAATTGCTAATAAATGAAGGGGCCCTAGACATATGATGAAACAATTTAATATGGAAGATAGAGACATGAAAAAACAAATTTTTAAAGCTTGAGGTATCAAAGAATACAGAGGGTGAAGAAAACAAAATGGCAATATCCTCAGAGGAATAAGGGAAAATATTTCATCTATAAATTTAAGAATAGAGTGCTATTTAAAAAATTACATTCAGCCTGTAATTGTTCTTAGAAATTTAAAATTATGATAATAAAAATGAAAAAAAAGAGAAACCTCAATAGGAAGTTCACAAAATAAAATTTTAGAAATCACACAAAAAGTAAAGTATAAAGACAAATGACAGGGAAATTTGAAAGATAAGAAATTAAAATAAAATAAGAATTTGGGTGACACAATAGGAGTCCCAGTATGAATAAAGAGAGGAAATAAAGAGTTGAATAAATCATAAATAATCCAAGAAAAATTCTCAGAATTATTTAAGGTGAGTTTCTGTTCTGATATTTAAAAAATCGGGTTTCTTATATAGTCAAGATGCAGAATAGCCTGAAATTTCCTAGCAGCAATACTGGAAGTTGAAAGACAATACCACAATTACTTAAAGTGAGGCAAAGTAATTTCCAGTCTGTAATTCTGTACCAACCCAGAACTACATAACTGAAATTTTTTGATTGAAACTATTTCTTTTCCTCCTAATGTGACATGTTCTTACCCCCAAAATGAAACAAATAATTAAGCAGAAACAAAGAGACCCTAATCTCATCCTGATTGAAGATAGTAACCAAAAGCAATCACAACCAAATTCACAAACAATAGTTGCCAAATATCATGAACTTTCAACCAGATGAAAACATGGAAGAATTGTGTAAGCAGCTGTCCTCAATCGGTATTTTTCATGAGAATCACTATTAGGTCAAATGTCACTAGATTTTGAAACAAACAATTCCTAACTCTCAGTGGCTTAACAGGTTTATGTCTTGCTCATGAAAATACCAAAGTGGATGAAACTTTCCGGTTGATTCCCTTCCTAGCTTTGGCTCAGGAGTCCCCTACTAGGTTATTTGAATTTAGTCAAGAGTAAGGGGAGGGGCGCCTGGGTGGCGCAGTCGGTTAAGCGTCCGACTTCAGCCAGGTCATGATCTCGCGGTCCGTGAGTTCGAGCCCCGCGTCAGGCTCTGGGCTGATGGCTCGGAGCCTGGAGCCTGTTTCCGATTCTGTGTCTCCCTCTCTCTCTGCCCCTCCCCCGTTCATGCTCTGTCTCTCTCTGTCCCAAAAATAAATAAAACATTGGAAAAAAAAATTAAAAAAAAAAAAAAAAGAGTAAGGGGTGAAGTGTGAATGCATCCCCACCCCAAGAGTTGGGCCTGGACAGGTGTCTCATAGACATCTCTTCTGTTGGAGAAGGAAACAAATATCCTTGGATAATTGGCCATTTCTTATAATAAAACAAAAGTGTAATAAAAGTCACTAATCCCCACCCTTTGTTCAAGAATGGTTTGACTTGAAAGAACTACATATGTTGTAAAATAATAATAATTGGAAAGGAGTAAACACGGAGCATATGAAATAGAAGTATAAAATGTAAGGTGGAAAAACACAAAATCCAAAGTGAATGAAAAAACTTCGTTTATATTCATGTACTGCCTCATAGGTGCCACATATTGTTTTAAGAGCTTTACATATATCCTATCTTTCCAATTTTTTCAACAATTCTAAAAGTTGGTACTGTTACCCCCTTTTTCAGATTAGGATACAGATTTATAGAGTTTAAATTATTTTCCTAGGAAATTCTCTGGTAACATGTAGCATTAAAATTCAAACCCAGATAATATGACCATGACCCCAGAGATATGGTCTGTAGTACGCTAAGGGCCTACCTTTATATAGTCTGTTTAAAAGATCCTTGGAAGTGCTCAGGAAATAAATGTAAGAGAAAAAGCTATTTTAAAAATGAAAGACATTGATAATAAGACTAACAAATAAGAGAATAGACACTGTGAGATTACAGTCAGGTTTAAGAGAATAGAAAGCAATTATATATAAACAATGGTAGAGAAAAACCTAAGAATGTGTAATGGTGAATTTTATGTGTCAACTTGACTGGGATATATTGATCAGATAGTTGGTCAAGTTTTGTGGGTGTTTCTGCGAGGGTGTTTTTGAATAGGATTAACATCTAAATCAGTAGACTTTGAGTAAAGCAGAAATGCCTTTCATATTTGGATGGACCTCATCCAATCAGTTGATGTCCTGACTAGGACAAAAGGATGGACCATCCCACAGAATCGTCCAGGTAACTGCCTTCAGACTGGAAATTCATGATAAAAACTAGGAATAGAAAACTTCTTTGACCTGATAAAGAACATCTATAAGTATCTACCTAACATAATGAATGCTAAGTGATAGAATGTTTTGCCGCTCTTATGGACTGCATGCTCTATCCCGAAATTCATATGTTAAAACTCTAACCCTCAGTAAGATGGTATTAGGAAGTTGAGGCCTTTGAAAAATAATTGGGGTCAAATTAGGTGGTGAGTATAAGGCTCTCATGATGGGATTTATGCTTTTATTAAAAATTAAGAGACATGGATCTCTCTCTCTGTTCTGTTGTGTGAGCATATAAAAGGAAGATGGCCATTTGCAAACTAGGAAGAGTGGTCTCACCAGATACCACCTCTGCTGGTGCCTTGATCTTGAACTTCCCAGCCTCTAGGACTGTGAGAAATATGTGTTTGTTGTTTAAGCCACCTAGCCTGTGGTATATTTGTTACAGCCTGAACTGACTAAACAGCCCCTAAGATTAGGAATAATTCAAGGATGTCTGCCTTCTCTACTTTCAGTCAACATTTTACTGGAATTTCTGGATAATACAATAAGCAAAAGAATAATAAATGGCATACATTTTTTAAAGTAAAAAATAACCTTATGTTTTTAGTGACCTAACTCTGTATATAGGAGATCACAAAGAAACTCTACCAAAGCTATCAGGAATATAAGAGAGTCTAGCAAAGTCACAGGAAACAAAGATATTGATGTTGTTAAGATGTTCATTTCCCCCTTATTGATCTGTAGATTCAGTGTAATCCCAATCAAAATTCCAGAAAACATTTTTGTGAAAATCGGTTCTCAAATTCATAAGGACATGCAAAGATCCTAGAATAGTCACACAGTTTTAAAAAGAAGAACAAAATAGGGCCATCTGGGTGGCTCAGTCGGTTAAGTGTCTGAAATCGGCTCAGGTCATGATCTCACAGCTCTTGAGTTGGAGCCGGCTTCAGGCTCTGTGCTGACAGCTCTCTTTGCCCCTCCCCCACTTGCTCTCTGTCTCCCAAAAATAAATAAACATTTAAAAAATAAATAAAAATAAGAACAAAATAGAGGACTTACATTACCTCTGTTTTTTTTTTTTTTAAGGGCTAGGTAGTATATTTTTTAGGCTTGTGAGGTATATGATCTATTGCAGCTACCTCACTCTACCTTTGTAGCATGAAAGCAGCATAAATAACATATAAACAAATGGGTGTGGCTTTATTCCAATAAGATATTTTTTACAAAACAGGTGGCCATACCTTGGGTTATAGTTTGCTGACCCCTGCTATAGAGATACATACCGTGATTGGTGTAAGCATAGACATATAGATCAGTGGAACAGAATAGGTCAGAAGTAGACCCACATACTAATGGCAGATTGATTTTCCACAAAGGTGCTGGGGACTTTAAAAGGTTAAAGAATAATGTCTGCATTAAATGCTGCTAGAAGACTGGACATCCATATGGAATAAAATGAATCTTGACTCTTATTTTAAAAACTGAATTAGAGCATTGGCTTAAATATCAAAACATAAAATTTCTAGTAGGGAACTTAGGAGAAACCAAATTAATGAGCCATAAACATGTGAAAAGCTGTTTCACATTAAGCATCAGGGAACTGCCAATTAAAACCTCAATAAGATATCAGCAAGCACCAATAAATGGAAATGATGGAAAAGACAATATCAAATATAGGCAAAAATGAAGAGCAATTGGGACTCTTATTCTGGGTGAAAATGCAGAATGATCAAACTACTTTAGAAAGCAATCTGGCACTTTTGTATTTACTTTACACACTCACAATTATCACATAACTCAAGTATTCCATCTTCAGATATTTACCAAGAACAATGAAAGAATATAGCTAACTGCACAAAGATCTGTGCATGGATATTCATAGCAGCTTTGCTTATAATAGCTAAAATGGGGGACACCTGGGTTGTTCAGTAGGTTGAGCATCCGACTTCGGCTCAGGTCATGATCTCATGGCTTGTGAGTCCAGCCCCACGTCAGGCTCTGTGCTGACAGTTCAGAGCCTGGAGCCTGCTTCGGATTCTGTGTCTTTCTCTCTTTCTCTCTGCCCCTCCCCCACTCACACTCTGTCTCTCAAAAATAAATAAACATTAACAAAAATAAAAAAAATTAGCCAAAATGGCTAAATAATCCAAATGATCATTGTCAACTGAGAAAGGAGCTGAAATAAAATAAAAGCATTTATTTGGGGTCTCAGAAATGCAATTTGGTGAGTACAGATTTGGGTAGCAATCCAATTGTCCCCTAGGGAACAAAAGTGAAGGTTTTATTTTAAAGATGAAAGGGGATGCTTGCATATGTTGCTTACAAAGATTTTGGCTGTTGTTGGCAGAAAACTAAACTTGGCTAAACATAATTGGCTGCTAAGGCTGTCACTAAGCAAAAGTTTGTTACTATAGCAAGTTGCAGATGTTTGTGCAGACTCCTTGGAATATTTAAGTTTGGATCCAACTCAGAAATTTGTGGTTCCATCCAGTGAGGAGGTACATAAGGCCCACCTCCTTAATGGCCTCCCAGTTTCATTTTAAAACCCCTTGATGTAAGTGACTCCGTTTTATTTCACCTTTCACATCATCAACAGGTAAATGTATGAAAAAGTTGTGGTGTATTCCTAAAATGGTGCACTACTTAGTAATAAGAACTGATGAATTACTAACAATCACAACAACATGGGTGAATTCTGAGTGAAAGAAGTCCGATATAAAAGTACACATCATATGATTCCAGTTACATGAAATTCTCTACCCTGTGGTGAGAAAATCAGATTATTGCTTGCCTTGAGCCATGTGGGCAATTGACTGAAGAACATGATAGAAATTTTCTTTATCTTACTTATGGAAATTATTACGTGGATATTTACATTAGTACTAATTCATATATTCTAAAAATGGATGCATTCTATTGAGTGTAGCCACAAGTTAATATAGATAATAAAAATAATGAGAAAATAGAGGCAAACATCTGGTGTAAAATTGATGGGGATTTATTTAGTTTGAAGGTTGCAGAGGGAGGGTCTTGGAGGAAGGTTTTAAGAGGAAAGAAACATGGTTTCTCTGGTAACTTTTTGAGGATTCTAGTGATTAAGAATATAGGTAAAAGCTTCTGATTTGTTCCTAGAATTTGTATTTGGAATCTCACCTGCTTATTTATTCAGTGGGCATTTATTCTTTTATTTTCCTATTATTTATATCTTGATGAATCTGTATTTATATGTATCTATACCTCTCTTTGTGTATGTATGTCTATATATATATGTATACATATTTGTATAAAATGTAGATGATGATTACAAACAATATAAGAATTAAAAAAATGTTTTATTTAACTGATGTCCTCTGTTTCACAGAAAAAATCAGATGTTGAGCTATTGAAAAGAATTCTGAAAATTCAAATCATTATGGATAAAGCCTTGGTGCGTATTACTGATATATTTCATCATATCTTTGTCTTATGTTTAAATTCAAAGGGAATATGAAAAAGAAACTTCCCTTGGTTGCAATACAGGTATTATCCTCTGTTAACATTATGTATCTCTGTATAGCAAGACATAAAAAAAAATGTTGTCTATTGGTTTTACATTGACATATGGGGACCAATATCTATGATGTTGATTTCCAAATCATTATAGAATTCTAGCAATAATGTACAGATATGTATGTATGGAAGGGTTCTACTACACTAAATCTGTTGGATTACAGCTACCTATAGAAATTTCTGAATCTGCTCCAAATTGTGGTAAACTCTTTTCCTTAAGTAAGTTTCCATTTTAACACAAGCTATTTTATTACTCAATTGGAGATCCTTGTTAAATATTATCTTTTATAAGATTATGTGTACAATTGCTTGAGTTCTCTAGTGGAAGTTTCGTATTTCAAAAATGAGGTTTATTCATAGGAATATTTTTTTAGTTATGGAAATTTTTGTTTATGTAATCAGTTTGAGTAAAGTCATATGAGTAAAAAGTTAAAAGATCAGATTTGTCCATTATCACTGATATTTTTGCGTAAAGTGTCTCAGTGAGTGTCATAATGTCATAAAAGGAAATATTTAGGTCTTTAAATAATTTTTAAAAATCAGTAACGTACTGTAAAGAATAGATAGACAAAATAAATAAATAATAAAAAAGCACATATAGTTTTATTACCAGGTGATAAATCATATGCACACATCCTGTTTTTAATGTGTACATGCATATTTGTATGTATTCATATACCTTGTTTTATATATGCTATTTTGTAAATTAATTTATAATGCTTTATTTCCCACTTATTAATGAAATATATTATTTCAATTTAATTTTGATGTTCACAATATCCAATTAATAAAATATTTAATATAATTTAATCTGATTTACTAGCTAATGCCCTTTGGGAACTTTTTTCATTTTGTTTTAATGATTCAAATTATTATTTAAATTCTAGTTAGTTAACATATAATGTAATATTAGTTTCAGGGGTAGAAGTTAGTGATTCATCACTTATATAATGCCCAGTGCTCATCACAAAAAGTGCTCTCCTTAAATACCCATCACCCATCTAACCCATCCCCTACCCAGCTCCCCTCCAGCAACCTTCAGTTTGTTCTCTATGCTTAAGTGTCTCTTTTATAGTTTGCCTTTCCCCTATGGTCATCTCTTGTTTTTTGTTTTTTAAATTTCACATATGAGTGAAATTATATGGGATTTATTTTTCTCTGACTTATTTTGATTAGCATAATACACTCTAGCTCCATCTACAGGTTGCAAATGGCAAGATTTCATTCTTTTTTATGGCTGAGTGTATATATATATGTGTATATATATATATACATATATATGTGAACAATATATATATGTAATATATATGAATATATTTGTGAACAATAGCCAAGTTATGGAAAGAGGCCAAGCATCCATTATTTATTAATGGATGCAGATGTATGTACAAAGATGTACATAGATGTACATGTACATGTACATGTACAAAGATGTACATAGATGTACATGTACATGTACATGTACAAAGATGTACATA